GCTTTCCTGAAAGACAGACTGAAAGGGAGAAATCACCCCCCAGGGTGGATGGCCACGCTGCAATCCCTTCTCTTCCATTCTCCTCTCGGGATCTTGGGCACACAGGCACATGTGCCTGGCATGAGTTTAAGCCACTGGGTCCAGGACTCGAACCGCAGTCAACTACATGGGGTCCGGCAACATAGCCATTACACCAACTGCTGGTCCCAATCATGACTAATTTTTACATAGAAAAATATATCATCACTTTCCCGACAATTTAGTGGTAACTAAATTATTAGATTTCTTTATGTAATTAACAATTATTGACTATACTGTCCTGCCTTTGATCTTATACCTTCCTGCATCATTTAAAATTTCGTTTTCTTTTCAGAGGTTTTTGCCTTAGGGTGTACACGCTTGCTGGAGAGAGAGACACAGACACAGTGAGAAAGAAAGTGAGAAATCACCCCCCTCCCCCAAGGAATGGCCATGTTGCAATCCTTCTCCTCTTGGGATCTTGGACATGCAGGCACAGGCGGCCAGCGTGATTTTCAAGTCACTAGGTCTGGGATTTGAACTGTGCTCAGCCACGTGAGAGGTACAATGACGTAACCACTAAGCCATCTGCTGGTCCCTTAAGTATTCTTTTTAATCACTTCCAATAAAGATAGGAAACCACCAAATACATAAATGGAAAATGGTTATTTCTCTACACTTGAACATCCTTCCAATTGCCTCTTTGCTTCCATTTGCAGGTATCTCCACTACAGCTGAACTCCTGTTTGAATTCCTACAAATGAGTTGGCCTTGTTTATTCCTAAATTTGTCTAGGCCAGTTTTTATTCCTGTAAGCAACTAAAATCAGTAACATTTAAAGACAACCATTTCTGGGGTAGTTCCATGGATTGGTAGTTAAGGCAGCTGGATTCCACACAGCCGACAGATGGTTCAGGCCCAGATCTAGCAGCTTGAGAAACACACTAGGTGCATGTGTGTGTGCCCAAAACGTCCAAAAGAGGAAGAGATGGAGAAGGGATTGTGGAGTGACTATTTCCCACAGGAGGGTACTTTCTCCTCTCCTTTTCTCTCTGTCTCTCTAGCTGAGTGCACATGCCATCTAACAAACAAAGACAACTATTTCCACAAAAACTATAAAAAATGGATGTTTTAGAAATAGTGAGTAAACTGCAGATTGCATGTTGTCAAAGTATGCATGGGTGCTGCATGGCATGTGCGCTCACTGGAGACAGAAATAGAGGGAAAGTAAGAAAGCACTCCCCAGGGAGATGGCCATGCCACAATTCCTTCTCCAGTCTTCCCTCAGGATTTTAGTCACACACACACATACTTGGCATGTTTTAAAGCCACAGCGCTGGGACCAGCAGTTAGCATAATGGCTATGTCGCTGGACTCCCACGTAGTCGACCGTGGTTCGAGTCCTGGACCCAGTGGCTTAAACTTACGCCAGGCGCGTGTGTGTGCGTGCCCAAGATCCCGAGAGGAGAATGGAGGAGAAGGGATTGTGGCGTGACCATCCCCCCTGGGGGGTGATTTCTTGCTTTCTATCTCTCTATCTCTCTCTGTCTGGTGAGCACACATGCCCTATAGCAAAAACTTCTCAAAAAAAAAAAAAAGCAACGGGGTTCAGGATTCCAGCCCCATAGCTGGTCATGTAAGATCCAGCTGCCTTAACCACCATGCCACTGGACAGTCCTGTTACAGAGCATTTCTTTCTTCTTTTTTTTTTTTTAAAGAGAAATTTTTGCTACAAGGTGCATGTGCTTGCCAGAGAGACAGAGGCAGAGAGACAGAAAGTGACAAATCATTCCCGGAAGGGTGGTCATCCCACAATCCCTTCTCCTCTATTCTTTTCTTAGGATTTTGGGCATGCACGCACATGTGCCTGGTGTGAATTTTAAGCCACCAGGCCTGGGACCTGAACCATGGTCGAGTATGTGGGAATCCAGCAATGTAACCATTAAGCCATTTGCTGGTCCTCAGAGCATATCTAACATATATAAAAGTAGAAAGAATAACAAAATAAATCTTCATGTATCCAGCACCAACGATTAACCCATGTCTAATCCTACCCCAATCTACTTTTCTTCTATTATTTGAAGTAAATTCCAGATCTTGTATCATTTCATTTGTACTTATTTTAGTATTTGCTGCCCTTTTTTATTTAATTAAAATACCATTATCTAAACTGAAAAAATGAAAAGTTCTTTGATATCATCAAAAATCAGTGTCCACTTTTCCAACTGTCTATTTTAATAAATAAAATTTTAAAAGATTTAAAAATAGTGGGGCCAGCAGGTGACATAATGGTTAAGGCGCTGGACTCGCCACATTTGGCTGACTGTAGTTTGAGTCTTGGTCCTGCAGCTTGAAACTCATGCCACACATGTGTGCATGCCTTTATGCCCAAAATCCCAAGAGAAGAATGGAGAAGAGATTGTGGTGTGGCTAATGCCCTGGTGGATGATTTCTTACTTTCTGTTTCTCTGTCTCTCTGGTGAGCACATGCATCCTATAGCAAAAATCTCTCTCAAAAAAATTTTTTTTAAATAGTAATTTATGAAAGCTAGTAGAATACAACTGATTTTGATACTTTTTAAAAATATTTTTAAAGAATTATGTAATTTCACTTATTATTATCATTTTTTAATTTGAAGAGAGAGAAAGTGGGACCAGCAGTTAGCGTAATGGCTATGTCGCTGGACTCCCACGTAGTCGGCCGCAGTTCAAGTCCTGGACCCAGTGGCTTAAACTCATGCTGGGTGCGTGTGCGCCCAAGATCCCGAGAGAAGAATGGAGGAGAAGGGATTGTGATGTGGCGATCCCCCCTGGGGGGCGATTTCTCACTTTCTATCTCTCTATCTCTGTCAGTCTGTCGGGCGAGCGTACGTGCCCTATAGCAAAAACCTCTCCAAAAAAAAAAAAGAGAGAGAGAGAGAGAAAGTGAGAAAGCAAACTGCTAGGTCCAGGACTTGAATTGTGGTCAGGCATGTGGGAGTCCAGCACCTCAACCACCTTGCCACCTGCTGGCCCCTTTCCATCTCTCTCTCTCTTCTTTTTCTGTTCAAGAATTATTTTATTTCAGGGATGGCAAGTGGCATGGTGGTTAAGAGCACTGGACACCCACATGGCTGACCATGGTTCAAGTCTCAGACCTGGTGGCGTGGCTTCTTGCTTTCCCTTTCTTTCTCTCTCTGGTCAAATTTAAAAATAATAACAAATGGAATTAAATACATAAATGATTCTTTTTAAAAAATTACTTTATTTAACTTTTATTTACTTAATTTGATGAGAGAGAGGAAAATTCAGAAAGCAAGCCACCAGCTCCAGGAGTTAAACCATGGTCAGTTATGTGGGAGCCCAGTGCCCTTAACCACCATGCTACCTCCCGGCCCCTATCCATTTATTTTTAATCTATAGGTTTTCTTACACACTTTTGATTTATTTTGTCATTTAGTTTTTCAGTAAACTGTTCTTGGACCTGTAGTTTCCCATACTCTAAACTGTACTGACTACATTCCCGAGGTATAGAACCGGTTCCTCTATAAATTGGCAGTTGGCTTTACAAGGACCAATTTTGTTGGCAAAGTTTCTTCATAGGTGATATTATATTTTTATTAGGAGAAGAATGTCTGACTGCCTTGATTTCTGTAACACTGTCAGTACTGATGTTTAATAACTAGATCCAATAGTTCATTATGGGTTTCAAAATGGTAATATTCTATCTTTCCTTCATTTATTTGTTGAGTACTTTTTATTGAGGGAACTATACCTCTACCTACTATCTACTGGCACAGTTCTTATATGAAAGGTAGAATAAGTGCTTCTTTTCCTTTAAATTTATGTTTTTCAAACAATTTAGTTCTTTAGTAGCTTCTAATTGATGAGCAATTTGCTGTATCATTAAGAATTTATAGGATTAAGCATATTTTATGTACTATAATAATTGCAATTATTATATATATTGACACTCAGATGGTCCCTTTTTTTTATTATTAATAGAGAGATTTTTGCTATAGGGCATGTGCACTTGCTGGAGAGACAGAGAAAGACAGAGAGGCCAAAAGAAATCACCCCTCAGGGGAGATGGCCATGCGGCAATCCCTTCTCCTCTACTCTCCTCTCAGGATTTTGGGCTCATGCACACACATACATGAGTTTCAAGTCACTGGGTCCAAGACTCAAAGTGTGGTCCATTACATGGGAGTTCAGCGATGCAACCATTCAGCCATCTGCTGGTCCCAGATGTTCCTATTTTTAACTAATTGGAGCTTCTTCAAATTGGTCCCTCTCTTCCTTAACCATTCTGCCTAAAATTACCCCATTCACTCATAATAATTCTCTGTATTATCTCATTCGCTTTTCTTCACAATATTTAATCACTTCAGGATATTTATTTACTAATTCATTTGTTGGTTTACGTGTTTACTATATGACTCCCTTATTGCAATGTCAACTCCATGAAACAAGGGCAATGAAGAAATACGTAAAAGTCAAAATATAGGGAACCAGCAGTTAGCGTAATGGCTATGTTGCTGGTCTCCCACGTAGTCGACCGCAGTTCGTGTCCTGGACCGGGTGTGCGTGTGTGCCCAAGATCTTGAGAGGAGAATGGAAGAGAAGGGATTGCAGCGTGACCATCCCCCCTGGGGGGTGATTTCTCAGTTTCTGTCTCTCTGTCTCTCTGTCTGGCGAGCGCACGCGCCCTATAGCGGAAAAAAAAAAAAACAAAAAACCTCTCAAATAAAATAAATAAAAGATAAGCTAGAAAGGAATTAGGTCTAAAATACAAGCAAAATAACTATCCCTAGGGAAGAGAGCTTTCCCCTATTGAAATAGGAGAGAAATATGAGAGAGAAGAAACGAGTGGCACGTGGAAGTATACATTTCTTTGGTGGCTCAAGCTGAAAGATCTAAGTATTCTTCCCAAGTTTCAGGTCTCTTCACAATCAACAATATGAAAGGGTTTCTTCCCCAACCAGCAGGTAGATGTCACTCACCTAGGCCATATCTTCTTTTCTCATCCTGTACAACCATCCAGGGTTCTTTCCCTTGTTCCAGTAGGGTAATCACATCTGGCTTAGAAATGGAACATCCTGCTTGAAGGAAAATAATGAAGAATTTACTTATTGTTTATTTTTAAAGTTTTATTTTATTCATGATATACAATGGATTTGTGTGCATGAGGTGGTGGAAGGGAACCCTTGATAGGACCTCGTCATGCCATGATCCCCTTCCCACAGTACTCTTGCTTGTGAAGATCTTGGGCACATGCTCAGAATGTTTTCAGGCTGCCCTGGAGATCCAAACCCATGTAGCTTCCAACACTGCTGTTCAGTTTGCTACTGACTATACCACCGGGTTAGGCCAAAACAAAGAATTTACTTAAGCAAGGCTTTAGTACAAAGAAGGTGTGAAAAACATTCAATCAGAGTTACTTAAGACTCATAATAAAAAGCAAGAAGAGAGATGTAGGGATATGGACTTATTTCGAACTCATGTATGCTCTTGTCTCTTCAGAGTAAATAATGGCTGAGAGCTCTGGTTTTAAATCCTACCCCTATTACCTGAGTCATTAAGGCGACTTTTCTTTTTCTTAATTGCCAAAGGGTGCATGTGTTCATCAGGGAGAAAGAAAGAGAGAGAGAGAGAGAACCCCCCAAAAGGGTATACTCACACCATAATCCTTTTTCCTTCACTTTTACATACTATCAGGATTTGGGGGCACACATGTGTGGAGAGCAGCCAATCTGAAAACACGTGATTAAACCATGTGGCCTGTAGACACATGTAGCTATGCGCTTCCCTAAGCTACTCTAGCCAGGCTATTGAGAAGCATCTACATACGAAAGCAGTATCTGCCTGTTGTCAATGGTTGTCTAACTGTTGTTTTTGATACCCAATACTCCGATACTGCTAGTATCAGGCTAAAGGAAGTCACATGCATTTATCAGATTGTCCTCTAAAAAGATCAGAGAAATTATATGGCGGCCAGTCATTTTCGTATCTTCAGATGATTTACATCCAAAAACAACTGGCTTTGCATTCTGATTTCTCCTCCCTTATTCTCTTTGTATTCCACTTCCTTCTTCCCCATTCCTTTTACATCCTATTTTCCCCTTCCCCCATTTTCTGCCCTTTAAAAGAATAAACCTGAGGCTGGTTCTGGTGGCAACTTCTCCATCAGAGAAGTTGTGCCCACTCGATCCTCACTTTTCTATACTTGTGTGTCTTTGTGTGTTTGTTATTGTGTCTATTTCTAATCCACAGCCTTCCCCACTCAGAGAAACGTGTTCAAGCCGAGCTGGTCCCGGCACACATGCACATGCCCCTGACATGTACTGGGTCGTTGGAAAGGTCATGACACATTTTTGCATAGGAAAACAGAAAAATACATCATGACTTCTCTGATGACCCAATATTTCACACACCACCCCCGAACTCCTGGGGCCAAGATTTGAACTGCTCTTGGTCCTGTGGGATCCAGTGCCTCTATACACAGGGCTTTAATTGCTGTGCTACAGGGCTGACGCTAGGGGCACATTAATTTCTTTGTACCCTGGTTTTTCTCAGTTCTGAAAGGGGATAATAGTGATGGATATGCATAGGATTATTATGAGATTTGATTTAGTACAAGTCAAGTGTTTAGATAAGGACCTAATACATGATAATAAGTATAAAATATGTTCACTAGGTACTTTTTAAAAATTTATTTCGCTAAGAAGGTAATTTCTTGGGACCAGCAGTTAGCGTAATGGCTATGTCACTGGACTCCCATGTAGTCGACTGCAGTTCAAGTCCAGGACCCGGTGGTTTAAACTCATGCAGGGCACATGTGCGTGTGTGCCCAAGATCCCAAGAGGAGAAGCGGCGTAGCCATCCCCCCTAGGGGGTGATTTCTTGTTTTCTGTCTCTCTGTCTCTTTCTGGCAAGCGCACATGCCTATAGCAAAAACCTCCCCCCCCCAAAAAAAAAGATAATTTCTTGCAAGAATATTCATTCAATGGTATATGAAAAATTCATGTATTTTAAATAATCACAAAGCAGTTAAAAGATAATATATGTCTGCTGTAGGAAACTGAGTATGAATATGTTCACTTGAGTTTTAACAAACTGCTGATTTCACCCAACATCATACACAATGTATTCGTTCTTTTAGTAAGTATGTATACCCCAATACCTTTGTCTTCCTATTCTCATTACAAGTGAGTCTGTGAATAGCATGGATCACCTGTAGCTGTATAAAACCACATTTCTTTTACAAATGGTTTTTACCATGAGTATCTAAGAATTTATATCCAGTTGTCACTAAAGAGATAATGTCAGAAAAGACAAGGGAAATGTAAAGGTCACTGAATTATGGGAGAAGATGAAGAAGTTTACTAAACCACAAAGCACAAAGTTTTCAGAAAGACAGCCCTGAAATTCAGTCCTGGGAATTTCTAAATGATTTGACAAAGATAAACTTACCCAGTGACACCAAGTTACTGTAGTTCTCTAATATCACATCTCTGTACAAATTTCTCTGATTTGGGTTCAGGCATTCCCATTCTTCCTGAGAAAAGTCTATAGTCACATCTCTGAACATTACCAAATCCTGAAATGACAAGCCCACATATTATTTGTACAATTAAAAAATACTTTGAATCTATAAGGATTTTCAATATCTGCTCACTTCATTTATCAAATAAATAGGTTAGAGCTAGAAGCCTGTGATGTGGACAGGTGGCAGTTAGGGGAAAAGTGTGACTGAAGCAAAATACCTGCATGCTCTTGAAGATTTCTTTTTTATGTTTTTCAGGCTTTTGCCATAAGTCCGTACACTTACTGGAGAGACAGAAAGAGAAAGTGAGAGGGAAAGTAAGAAATCACCCCTCAGGACAGATGGCCACACTGAAATCTCTTCTCCATTCTCCTGAGATTTTGGGCACACATGCACACATGCCTGGTGTGAGTTTCAAGCTGCCAGATTTGGGACTTAAACACTGTTGGCTATCTGGAAGTTCATCGCTTTAACCACTATGCTACCTGCTGGCCCCTTCTTGAAGATTTCTATTTACTCAGACCAAGATTTGGGCTTTACAAGCTATATATGGTATCTGTTGCATATTCTTCTGTTTGTTTGCTTGTTTTTTATAATTCTTTCAAAATGTAGTTATCTTGCAGGCTGTACAAAAACAGGTTATTTTGCTTGTGAGCCAAATTCATAGTATTTGTAGCTTACCCATCACTGCTCTAGCCCAAACTTCCTATGTACTAGTTCATTTATTTCCAGATATGTTTGAGTTTTACTGTGTCAGTTAATCAGAAATTATAATAAGAACATAAGAAAAAGATACACAAGAACACTCCTTGAAAAGGGCCTAAAAACTTCTCAATAAATGTGATTTACTCTCTTTTCCTTTAAAGATTAGAAAAAAGTAGGGCCAGCAGATGGCATAGCACTTACATCTCTGGACTCCCACATGGCCAACTGTGGTTTGAGTCACAGACCTGGTGGCTTGAAAATCATGCCAGGCGTGTGTGTGCGTGAGCGCCCAAGACTCCAGGAAGAGAATGGAGAAGGCACTGAAACATGGCCATCCCCCCAAAAGGGGTGATTTCTCACTTTCTCTCTCATTGTCTCTGTCTCTTTCTTTCCAGGGAGCGCATGAACCCTAAGGCAAAAACCTACTTAAAAAAAAAAAGATTAGAAGAAAAATAGATGAAATTTGTTTCCTCAAATGAACTCTAAAATTTCTATTTTTAAAAAGTCGAGTTTGGGGGCCTAGCAGTTGGCGTGGTGGGTTAAAGCGTTGTAATTCCCACATGGCTGACCATGGTTTGAGTCCTGAACCTGGCAGCTTGCACGCATGCTCGCTCGCTCTCTCTCTCTCTGGCAAAACTCATGTGGAAAATAAATAAATAAATAAATAAATAAATAAAATAATTTTTTTAAAAAAGTAGAGTTTGAGGTATAGCCATTGGCATAGTTGTTACATTGCTGGACTTCCACATGGCTGAATGCAGTTGACATCCCAGACTCGGTGGCTTGAAATTTATGCTGGGCACATATATGTGTATGTCCAACACCCTCAAAGGAGAATGGAGAAAAAGGGATTGCAGCATAGCCATCCTTGTGGGGGTGGGGATTTCTCACTTTTCCTCTCATTGTCTCTCTCTTTTTCTCTGGTAAGCACATATGCCTTAAGGCAAAAACCTCTTAAAAAAAAAAAAAAAGGTAAACAAAAAGCAGAGTTTGTGGAGCCAGAGGTTGCATAGTGGTTAAAGTGATGAACTCCCATATGGCTGATAATGATTTCTATACCAGATGTGGTGGCTTGAAACTCACGTTGGGCATGTGTGCATGCATGCTCAAAATCTACAGGGAAGGGACCAGTCGTTAGCGTAATGGCTATGTCGCTGAACTCCCATGTAGTCGACTGTGGTTCGCGTCCTGGACCCGGTGGCTTAAAACTCACACCAGGCGCGTGTGCGTGCATGCCCAAGATCCCGAGAGGAGAACAGAGGAGAAGGGATTGTGACGTGGCCATCCCCCCTGGGGGGTGATTTCTCGCTTTCTGTCTGTCTGTCTCTGTCTGTCTGGCGAGCACACGCACCCTATAGCAAAAACCTCTTAAAAAAAAAAATCTACAGGGGAGACTAGAGGAGAAATCACCCATCAGGGTGTAGTAAATTACCCCTTGGAGGTGATTTCTCCCTTTCCATCATTATTTTTCTCTGTCTCCCTCCAGTGAGCAAAAATGCCCTATGGCAAAAACCTAAAAACGAAAAGAAACAAAAAGTAGAGTTTGCATAAAATAAAATAAAATAATGTCTTCTAGGCTTAATGTTATCATTATATTGCATTATAATAAGCATTTTTCCTTATTATAACAAATCCTTTACTGAATATTTTTAATTTACTACACAATATTCCATATTATGGATATGTCAGACTTAGTGATTATTATAGAGATTTTTAAATATATTTAAAAACTATGTTCTACAAAATCTCTAAAGCTGCAACTCCACTATGCTAGTTTAGTAATATGTAGTTACTGAGCACTTCAACTACGGCTAGTCTAAATGCACATGTGCTGTAAGTGTGACATATAAAGTAGATAGTGAAAACCTTAGGGAAAAAAAGAATGTAAAACATCACACAATTTTCATTTGACTACACTTTGAAATGATAATATTTTGGCAATATTGGTTTAAATAAAACATTAAAATTAATTGCACTGTTTTTACTTTTAGAAATGTGACTAGTAAAATATTTAAGAAATTAGTGCCTTGCATACTGTATTACATTTTTAAATGAAACCATTAGAAATTAAAATTACATATGCAGCTTACATTATAATTCTCTTGGGCAGTACTATTGTAAGTTGTATTCTGGTTCTAAGAATGTCACATAAAATACCCCCCTTTAGGGACTTCATTTCTGTTTCAGCTCTGCTCTAGTCAAAGATGAGAACACAAGGGACACTGAATGACTTGGCCAACACACACATGGACATAGGTGGAGAAAAGAGGGTAACCTAGAAGGGCCTGGGTTGCTTGGCTTCATTTCTCATTGGAATGGAACAAGGTAGGAAACAGGTTTTGGCTGGATGTTAGAAAGTCTTAGAATGATGAAAAAGAATGTTCACAAAACTTGAAAAAATATGACAGAATTTCAAATAGAGAGAAATACCAACTTACTTTAGCCATCGTTATAGAACTGCAAAAAGTGGTCAGTCTTCTTCAAGATTCATTTACTGGAGAAGCAGAAACCACAGAGGCCAGAGCTGGAGGGAGAATGAAGCCATGAGCACAGAACTACCTCAGACCTTCCAAATACATACAACTACTGCCCTGAACACACAAATTATGAGAGGTAAGGAAATTCAGACAAATTCAAGAAGGACTTCAAAACTTTCTGAAAAATGAAATTACAGTACAAGTTTGTTTTGGTGCAAAAGAATTTTAAACTCATGCATAGTTTTTTCATAATACACCCTGTAAACTTCGTGAAGCCCCTCTTATGTGTCCTTCCCACAATCACTGGTAAATTAGCTGCACAGGGAATAAACACAAAGCAGAGACCCTCCTGCATCAAAACACTTGCCCAGACACT